CTTCATCCTGGTTGGGTGGTCTATAACAGACTCCCAGCAGGATATCTGCCTCGTTGGCCTTCCCCCTCATCCTTACCCATAAACACTCAACCGTATCATCATCACAATCGTTGAGCTCTAGTTCATTTTCTCAAAGGTGTTATAGACAAAAGATAATTATGCTTTATGAAAAATCACAGTTTTAGGGGCAGTGTAGTAGAAAAAAAAGAGATTTCCACACACAGATAGTTTTAAGTATACTATGTTCCCAAGAAGAAATACTACGTGTAGTCTTATGAAAAATGTCTAATGGCAAATGACTTTGAAATCTCTGAGGCACTAAGGATAGATAAAGAAGTGTTTATAAGAATACTCACATAAGGGTCATCATCTTCACAATGATCGTCAGTAGCCCTTGGGTCAGATTTGATTGTCAGATGTTGAATTGAGCCCTACATGAAACAACAAAAACAGTTCAAGGAAGTAATATTTTAAGTAGCATGTGTGAAGGGGGGATGGAGCGGTGGGAATTAAACAAATCAACAAAAACACCCAGACTTTGTTCTGATTTGCTTGGAAAATAATCTGAAGCATAAAATTTTATGATAATAAACCCAGTTTAAAAATGTAAATATGTTCTTACGTTTTCCTTTTGGAAAATGTAGAAAAAATTGAAGCTGCCAGAATACAATGACTGTCATGTCCCAGTGACAATACAATTGCTACACTGTATTGTTAGTGCCCCAACTGAAAGATCTAGTCCTAGATTATGTCCTAGAGTCTGTAAAGCACTGTCTGCTTTTTCTAGTTAAGAAGTGCATTGCAGCTCCAAAAATGACATGTGAAAACCCCTAAAAATGGAGACAAAGGATGGGAAGGAAATACCAGTAAGTGACGAAGTGGGTCAGGGAGAAACCAGCTTAAAACTTTTCAAATGGAAAGAAAGGAGATGGATTTTCTGATAACGACTGTTTCTTTTTTCAGAGTTTCAAACTGTATTTCTCAGTCTGACGTGCTGAAGGAGCAGCAACAATTTCATTTTAAACATTTAAGTCTTGTTTCTTAGATTACAAAGACTCAAAGTGTTTTAAGAAACACATGGAGGATGTTTCCTTGTTAGGAGGTCTCACAGAGTTAGGCATGATGCACATGCAGGACAAAAGATGGGTATTCAAATCAAGAGCCATCTTACCTAACAGACATGACCTGCCTCTTCCTGTTTTGCTGACTGTATATTTCATTTCTCTGCTTTTCTATTTTCTGTAGAGAAAAGCCTGAAGAAGCTGACAGGTTTAATCTTTATCTCTAGACAGACACAGAATACTTCTCAGTCCAGTGACTTCTCTTCAAGGAGCTAGAACGTTTACACCATGCAATGATAACTTGGTTGTGCTCTGTCTGCTGAGTACTACCACAGACACACAGCAGGTCTGCTCACTCAGGGGTACAGAAAGCCTGGGTCTCATTAAGGAAAAGTGCAACAACTGTTGAGATGAGAAAAGTAGTATGCTTTGCTGCTACTTAATGCCACCAAAAAATGCAAACTCCAGAGGAGGAGTAGCTACTATTTGTATACACTGCTATGTCTGAC